TGTGTGTGTGTGTGTGTGTGTGTGTGTGTGTACGTACGCAGCTCTCTTCCACACCATGACCAGCTTGTCGTCTCCACCTGATGCCAGGTACAGCCCGTTGTTGGACCAGCGCACACAGTTCACACACGCTGCAGAGACAAAAATACACCCGGGTCATAAATCTAACTTGCATGGATTTGTGCTGACGGGGCGGTCCTTTCGTTTATGGCGGGCATTAATAACAGCGTCTGCAGTATAGCGGCGCAGGAGGTCGGTGTTATTAAATCTGACCGCTCGTTCCTTTGATTGGAACACAATCAAACGAGTGCAAACACACAGCGGACACTGAGCAGCAGAGGCTGTCTGTGGAGGAGAATAAAATATGAAGAAGAGTTCAACTTCTCCAACTTTCAGGCTGCAGGCATGAAGTATATACTATTCATAGCTGTACAAACAGCAGATGTGAATGCAGGAGTCGTAGAACTGGTTCTGCTGCTCGGAGTAGTCAGAATAAAACTACATAATTAGCGGCGCTGTGGAAAGTCGAGGACATTCGGTGCCCGATTGTGTGGAACGTGGAGGAGCAGCAGGACTTCAACAGGAAACCAGAGGAACGATAACGAGCTCACTACAATCAGAGACGAGGTCCAACGTACAGAGGGGAAACACTCTCTGTTGAAAGTGTAATTTAATCTCTTTTAGAAGTTGTCTTATTTCACATCGACAGTTGTCCTTGAGGGCCTGTAGTCCACATCGAATCTGTTTCACAATAAGACGATATGTGGACACACGGACGGATACATTCTCATGCTAACAGATTGTAGTGGCGGATGAATAGTTTCCTCTCCACAGGAAGCTGCTGATATCACACATCTGTCCCCGTCCATTTGTTCTCTTTTTCACTGTTAATCTGTTTAAGTGATTACGTTTCCCTGTGAGACTCTTTAGAGACACTTAAATAAAAAGACACATCAACGAAACAAGGTCTTCTTCTCGTGTCTCACGGACGACCCGTTGATCGATTGGCCTCACGTGTTGTTTGCGTCTCACATCTAGAAGTTTTAGAATAATTAGATAATTAATAATTAAGAGCAGAAGCACCTGGAGAAGTATTCACAACAGGAACTAAACAACAAACATTTCTACATTATTTGAATCGACGTGAAAGCGAACTCAGGTACGGCGGGTTACCGAGGTGATTGTCCATCTGGCAAAGCATCTTGGGAATATTCTCGTTCTTCTCGTCCTCGTCTCTGAGGACCGGCGCCATGTTCCAGATCATCACCTTCCCAGAGTCCTCTCCTGAGAAAACACATCCAACATCAAGACACATTGTTTCATGCCGGCATGATAACGGCAGCGGTGCGTTTTATTTTGAAAATCCCACAGGATGTGAACGAAGGCACGGGTCTTACCTTGCCCACCGGTTGCAAACTTTGTCCCATCAGGATGGATGTCAACAGAAAATATGGGTTTGCCTGTGAAACACATTGAAGGACGTTTGTCAAATCACAGTTTTAATGGATTCAAAGGTAAACAAACAATAGATGCTGTGGACTGATATCACAGACTGATAATCAATAATAACTGATACATTATCAGGGACCCATTTCAACGTAACACAGGAATATCACAGCAATCTTCTTACTGTCGGCCTGACGGTAGAGCTGGGCGACACGGGGACAATCTAATATGATGTTAGACCCGGAGGTTGATATTACAGCGATACTGTGGGTCGACTATTGGTGCTCTTACTCAAATATTTACACATTGAGATCATTTGATAAGTAATTAACAGTATGGATGTAATGACTAAGTGGGTAAAGGCAAATAAAACAGATACAACAGTCTGGTAAGTTCAGAAAATGACATTTTACTGTAATGCAGCAACACTTACTGACATATTACCATATCTAAACTCTAACGCCTCGTCTCATATCATATTCATGTAATATCAATATGTTTCCCGGCTCTATCTGGTGGATGATTCCACTAAGTCACAGCATGAACCACGACCTCACACGGTTCCTGGTTTAGTTAGTGACTGTGGATTCTCAGATCTTTTTTTGTAAAACAAACCAACGTGTGAAATAACTCAGATGATATATTTAATTTCTCAAAACTCTCACTTTGTTTATATCATTATAAACTTAATATCTTTGGGTTTTGGACAGTTGGTCCGACACACTAACACATCTACAGAAAGAGTGAAGAGCGTACAACACCACCATGTAGTAGAGTAAATGATTATTTGTAATTTTCTTATTATCAGCTCTAATATACCTACGATGGGGATGTGTTTGTAGCATGTTTTGCTAAAAGAAATTGGAGATTAAATGACAATTGCTAAGAACGAATGCAGTAATAAAGCCAGGTTGTCTAATGATCTGTGTGATTTGTTCTTTCTTTATTCTGTGACATTTATTATTCCATTCAAAAGGAAGAACTACTGAATCTAGCTGTTTCTTTGGTAAGGAATGTTGTTATATTTTGGACAGAATAAGGCCATGTCAAATCCCTTGTGTGTGCAACATACCGCGGCAATAAATGGTTCTGAATCTGATTCATCTGTGGAAGGAAACCAATCTTACGTGCATTTACCCTGCCAACAAAATGATCCAGAGAGGAATCTGTAAGTTTGTCTTGTAGAGGAAAGAAAGTTAGCCTCAAAAAGTGAGACCTATTTTTATTTGTTTCACTTTATTCCGTGTCTTATGTTTGACTTCATCATCTATAAAAGTCTCATTTATCTACGGACCTCCTCAAAATACAAATATGTCACCTCAAGAGGTCAAACATCTGAACTTGCGCACACTGGAAGTTGGTTAACTTGAGCACCAAAGAGCATCAGTACAGAACGTAATTCACCAACTAAAGAATATCTATCTATCTCTATCTCTATCTCTCTCCCTCTCTCTCTCTCTCTCTCTCTCAAAGATCTGCTGTTTGCAACGTTTAAACTGAAAGGATTTGCGTGTTTTCTACTGTAACTCATGTCAGTTATGAGCCGGTAGATGAGACACACGTGACATGTTGTGATCGACACTTAAAACATTTACAGGAAGCTTCACGGACTCAAAGAATAGTCGTGAAACCTAAAAACTTCACTCTAATGACATCAATCGTCAGCTGCAGACGAAATTCAGGCCATTTCATCGCCCAACGGTTAACTTTCACAACAACACAACACAACAATCTGTCTGTATATATATATATATATATATATTTGAGTTATTGTGGATTTTTTACTTATTTAATATTCTTTACTGTTTTATTACTTATTTATAATAATTGTTTTTTTACTATTTTTCTTGTTTACATAAATATATATATATATGTATTTCTGTATATATATATATATATATATATATATATTCCACTATGCTGCTGTAGTCCTGTAAATGTCCCCACTGTGGGACTAATAAAGGATTACACTATCATATCTTAGACTGACAGCTTGGAGAGACACTTTTCGTGGCTCCATATCGAGCTCGTTCTCTGTCACTAAACAAGGCGTGTTTGTTTAAAACACAGATGTCGTGTTGGACGTTAAACACGTTAAACTATAGCTCACTCTGAGACTTCAACGTGGGTCATTTTGTCAGTTAATCGCAGAATCAGAACCGTTTATTTGCCAAAGTATGTTGCACATACAAGGAATTTGACCTGGTGGGTGGTGTATAACATTAAAACAATCAACACAGTGCAAACAAATAGAAAGATATTAAAATGTAACATAAAATATAAAATATAGTGCACAGACAAAGAGATAACAGTACTTTAAGTGAGCTAACGTCAGGCTAGCCGGGTGGTGGGCTAACTAGCTAAGCTAGCTAAGGTTAGCAAACATTATAATACATTTAAGAATCAAAAGAGTGATGCCGACAAGTGACAAAAACACCAGACGTGTGTGTTGAGTTGCAGGGTTCACGTCCGCTGTGTGTGAGCGACTATTAAGTGACAAACAAGTCAAACAAGTGTCGACCACCACCACCATGATGCCTCCTTATCAATCCTCCCTCCCCCGACAACAAAAGCCCAACTTGGTCCAACAGATTCCTGCACAAAGCTTACCGTTGTGGCTCACCCAGCTCGGCTTCAGCAGCTTCATTTTCAACTTAAATCATATATATATATATATATATTTAAATATATATATAACGCTAACCACCGCCACCTCCACTCCACTCCTGCCTTTGTCTCAAACTCCGTCCGACACTTTGTTGTTTTTTAGATTCAACTCCTCCATCTCTGCGGCAGCATCTCCCCGAAAAACCCGAGCAAAGTGGGGCAAGATAGGGCAGCTCAGAGTCCGGACGACAAAAGACGTGACACCAGGAAGTGTTTCCGTTGTTTTTTGACCGCGGACCGGAAAAAGCGTGCGGGGCGGCTGTCACAATAGTTCCTCAGGGGAGGAACTTTGTAGACTTTTTAAAAATATGTATTCCAATAAAATAATCTTTGGCATGTTTTAATGGATTTTAGCCTGTCATAAATGTAGTTAAGTGTAACTAATCCAATCTTACATCAAATGTATCACATCGCTGGAAAATTAACTTGATACGTGTTTTATTTTGAAAATCCCAGTGCGCAAACTCAGAATTTAAACTGTTAAGAGAAGTATGAGGAGACAAAGGGCTTTTAAACATGTTTTTATTTATTTTTTACTTTATTGGACTTTTACCTTATTTTGAATAATATTTACTCTGTGGAGGACTAAAGGTGCGATTACAATAACCAAATGTGGAAAAATAGCAACTCATTAAATATGAAAATAAATGAATACAAAATAAATAATTAGTCGAATAAATATATAAATATGACGTGTTTATCAAAGTGTTATTTACTACTGTTTCTATGACTTTATCCCATAATTTGTTCTAGTATTCTTTTTTTAAATGATTTATTTTATTTTGATGTCTTTCTGCCCTGTGCATCACATGTCGACAAGGTTATTATTTAAAATAATAATTAGGCTAAAGATCTTTGAATCGCAAGGCGTTTAAAGCATTACGGTGATTTTTATTCATACACAGTTTATGCTTCAATTCAATTTCATAGCGGGATGAAGGACGCAAAGAATGGAAAGTTTTGCTGGTGAAACCGGGACAAAGAGCTTCATTTGATCCTGTTCAGACTTAATTCAGAGTCAATTTATATATATATTATAAATATATAACAGATGGAATATTATTACAAACATCCGGCCACCAGAAGAAGAAAACAGGTAGTGGAATGATTCATAGCTTCACTGAACTCAAAACAGACAATTATTTATTCAAATGAGAGTCAAATGAGATGACATCAGTGAAGTATGACATTGAACATCATCATTATCTTTACAAGTCAGTTAACAAATGTTTCATTTCCTTTACAAGAGTAAGAGCAAATTATTACCAAAAAAAAAAAAAGTACAAAAACAAACCCGTATTCATTCAGTTATTAAACAAGGTTTTACTAAAGCTTCCATCACTGAATCGGTTTAATTATCACTTCATGTCTCTGATGACATTCACTTCACAGATAAATGAACGATCAGTGTAAACAGCAGAGTCCAGTCACCTCAGCATGCTTTCTCCTAAAACACCACGACAGTAAAGATTCTGCTCAGAACATCTTTGTTAGAGTGTAAGGAGCAGGCCCACCAGACATCATTCTGACCAAGGGAACATAGAGAAAGTAGTGAACACCAACTTCGTTTAGAAGTCTCCATTTTGCCCACACTTATGATAAATATTTTTCAAGTTATTTTTTAAGTATTTCTTGTTTTCAACCAAACATCTTCTCAGTGTAGAGAACCTGCTGATACATGAAGCTTAAGTGGAGTAGATCACGCTGCAGTAGTGGTTGTTTTTATTAAAAACTCAACCCCTCTGGAATCTATTAAAGCTGACATTAACTCAAGCTCATCACAGCCTCTGTTCCTCTTTTACACAGTAAATAATCCAAACATGAAGGTAGAGAAGACCCCAGTGTTATTATAGCTTTCCCCATGCACATGACCTAAAGGCGATCACACAGAAGATGTGAACGCGTCGACATGAAGGTGAGTGACAGCAGTGAGACCTGCAGGGGGCAGTGGAGAGCTTCCATGCTGGCAGTAGCAGCACACTGATAAAACTCAAAGAAACCGTGCTACCGAGCTAAACACCTCTCTGTGCTCCTGTGCTAATGAGATAATGTGCAGACATTTGGTGCAAAACGTGCCTCTTTTCTATGCAAATGAGCCTCTTTGCAAAAATACAGTCCAATTAAACAAGACCAGCGCCGATAGCCACGAGCAGTTACAGTGAAATGGTGAAGATTGGTGGTGACTGAAGCACATTTATAAGGCTGCTCCGTCATTTATTTTGGGACGCAGTGGAATGAAAAATAAATGAATAAAGCTCCCCGACGTGTTTTTAGTTTTTAAATGCACAAGAAAAATAAAAAAGGTAATTTTATAAATGAATAAAATGATTTATTCCCTCTCGTGTTTGATTTTACTGCAGTTGAAGTGTCACTGGAGTCACTTAGATGTGTTAAGATTTAAAGGAGTTGACCTGCAGAAAACTGCATTTAACGGCCCGACCATCAACTTCTTCAATGTTGAAGGGTTCAAGTCAGACGGACAAAAAATTAGAAACACCTCCCATTAAAAAAGCAGTTCAACAGCACACCTCCGTACAACTGAACATTATATTATTATTATTCTTTATAGTGTTTAAATCAGCTTCACAGGCTTAACACAGATATGAAATGCCCACAGTGTCCCAAAGACGAGTCAGCTCAGAGATACCAGGTCTGAGGTTTTTCAGTTTTTGTCATGTGTGATGTGAGGGGTGGGGGGGGGGGGGGGCTCTTCATGGACCTGATGTGCCCCTAAAAGTGGCCTCGATCTGCTCCAGTGTCTTGCCCTTTGTTTCTGGGATGAAGGCGATGGTGAAGATGATGTTGAGGACGCACATCGAGGCGAAGAGCCAGAAGGTTCCGGCGCTGGTTAGAAGACCCTGGAAGAGGAAAAGGTTTCATAGCTTCACATAAGATTACAAAAGGCAACAAGACTGTATACCCCCCCCAAAGAATGCTCCAAAAGCATCTACAAATTCAGAGAGTCAGTGATGCATGTACCGTTTCTAATGTTTTCCTTTATGAGAAAACGTTTTGACATGATGTTGAGTTGAACAGCAACAAGTTATATATTCTGTGATCACGAGGTCACAGTTTTAAAGGAGCAGTGTGTAGGATTTAGTGCCATCTAGTGGTGAGGTTGCAGATTGAAACCAACCAAATACACAACTGTGTCGGAGAACTACGGTGGCCTTCAGGTAACGTGAGAACGTGACAGTCTCTCTAGAATCAGTGTTTTGGTTCGTCTGTTCTGGGCTACCGTACAAAGATGGAGGTGCAACATGGTGGACTCAGTGAGGAGGACCTGCTCCCCATGTAGATATGAAGGACTTATGCTAAGCTAACGGAAACAACAATTCTTAGTTTCAGGTGATTACACACTAATAAAAACATAGTTATGAATATTATATTACATTTACTAATAGATCCCCTGAAATGCTACACGCTGGCCCTTTAACAGGATATCATGCCACATTCATTACATAACTATTCAAAGTTGATCAAGAGAGAAACAAATCTTTAACTACGTCCTATCTGGCCTCCCACCAAATAAATCACATGTCCCCAAAATCTATTTTTATGAAACCCCGTTTAGTCCTGCTGAGCACTCACCATCATGTCTTGGAAGTTCTTGGTGACGAGGAACGCCATGCTCCAGTTGGTGAGGACGCAGGCGGCGCTGGCGACCCCCCTCACTTTGGAGGGGAAAATCTCCGACATGACGAGCCACGGGATCGGACCCCAACCGAGAGCAAAACCTGAACACAGCAACAACTATCAATGTGGTACAGGACTACATCAACTTGCACTGAAGTACAAAGTGGAGGTACTGTATCAAATTTAAGTTAACACTTCTATCCCAATACAATATTGTCTTGTTTTTCATCTCCTTCCTGATCAGGTAAAACCACGTATCTCCAGATGTGTTGATGTTGAATGTTTGTGATGAGCTAAAGGATGAAGTGTTTCCTTTATGTGTTGAGAATACTTCTTCAGCTAAATAAACTCTTTAAAAAGCCTCTCGGATCAGCAGGAAAAAGCATCGTCACAAAGCTGAAAACAGGATGACAACAAAAACGTGACGCTCTTATAGAATATGATTCATTGTTGTCGATTAAACTAGCCAACATGATATGAAGGAGTTTGTAAAAACATTTTACAGGACTATCAATACTTTAACTACCTAAAGTACATTTAGCTCATTACATACTTTGACTTCAGTAAGGCCTTTAATGCAGGACTTTTACTTGTATTTTCATCGTGTGGTATTAGTATTTTTACTCAAGTAAAGGTTCTGAGTTCTTGTTCCACCTCTGCAAATCGCAATTACCAACATTTTGTGGATTTAGTCTATTTGGAGGATTAGACGCTTTGCAGATGACTCCATAATGCATCTCTGTGAATCCGGATGCAACAATGATATCCAAACACTACATCACATAAAGGCTCATCAGCAGCTAACTTACTCCACCTCTTGATAAATGCTCACTGTCCCCGACTGCAGCACAACAAGAACGTTTAGTGGATGTACGTTGACAGTGAGGAGCTGCCGGTTGTCCCCATTAGTCACTTAGACACAAAAACAAGTGAAATTGGTTCCATGTTCAGAAAGAGAGGCTGCCCTTTAATAACTGGATTAGATTAATGTCAGACCCTGGATCTCACCTGTGATGAAGACGGCCATGCTGGCCAGGGCCAGCCAGGCCAGGTCAGCGTGGGGTTCTACGCCAGCCTGGCTCTGGATGTCCGTGAGGCCCAGCGAGCTGGTGCTGTGAAGTTTGGACATCAGGTAGAAGTAAACCCCGAATGCTGTGGTGCTGATCGCCATTAAAACGCCTCGATTATGAATGGGAGAAAGAAACAAACACAGAAACACAATCCGTCACGTCGTGTCTGGTGCAGAAGAGAGAACTGAAGTGGTGACATCATTTCATTAAAAAACACTATCAAATTATTATTTAGAATAACCTCAAATACATTTTACGTAGCAGCTACAATGTTAGCTTAGCCTAGCAGTGCTAGCCTAGCACTGATCGATCCAGACTCCATTCAGAAAACAAGCATTTTAAAAGTACTTTGCTTGTCGTCCTGCGAACAGACCTGACAGACCATGAATTCAGACTTTTTATAAATCGTCAACGTTACCACGAGTCGTTTTGTTAACATTTTATCTGTTAAAATCTGTTTATTTTGGGTTCATGCCGCTGTAGTAAACCAGATCAATTGGTTTGTGGTCGTGTGGCTTGCTAGATAAAGTGGATACAGGTTGGTGAAACACCTCCAGATGACTTAATGAACCGGACAGGACACCGTTTGTAAAAACACAAATGGTCCTGCTATCACACGAGAAAATCCGCTTTGTGTTTGGTTCAAACATTAAAACGATTGGCTCCAAAGGATTATTTGAAATGTTAAAAGAAGTTAATTAAATGGGTTTAATATATCACATTTAATTGAAAATACCTGAGATTATGAGAAGGATTTTTCTTCCAGCTCTGTCCATGATCAGCGCCGCCACGCCCGTAAACACGACCTGAATCAGACCCACGATCACTGACGCCAGGTCGCTCTCCTGAAGAACAGCGAAATATTCACATCGATGTTTTCAACAAGATAGTCGTGTTTTCACTGATAGGATATGCAGAAAGTGCTGTCACTCTTACATTCATTTATACATTAAATTACAATTCCGTGTGGGATTTCAAGGTGAAATTTAAATAAAAAACTAGTTTTTGTTTGCTTTTGGATTCAGTTGTAGTTTAAAAGTTAAAATGATTGATCTGAACAGGTAGTTATTAAAACAGTAGATTGAACTACTTGAATATTTTTTCAGTACATCCTTAAGAATTTCATCAAGTTCTGACGAGAGAATAAAAGACTCGTCATCAACAGCACTGGACAGTAGCTGTAAAACACATTTGTAACTGCAGCTGAATTCAAAGTTAATTAGAAATAAATCCCATTTTAAAGCCTCCTCACCTTAAAATGCGCCTGTTCAAATATGTTCTCAGCGTAGAACATGATGGCATTGATCCCCGTCATCTGCTGGAATATCATCAGCATGACGCCTATCACCAGAGGCTTGTAGACGCCGGGGTCCTTCAGGTCGGACATCTGGAAACTAGAGCCCTGAAGAGGACAGAGAGACCTGGGTCACCAGGCCCTCACTGACTCAACCCTTTAGAAGGGATGTGATGTTTAGACGTGTGGTTGTATGAGGTACTTCTACATAGTCAGGGTTTTACTACAGTAGATGGAGTTTAGACACCTAAAAGAATCAGTTTAAGTGAACGCTATATTCAGAATATTTTCTTTACCTTGCTGTCAGACAGATCTTTATGACGGGGAACTGAAGCAGACATCTATGCTCTCTTCAGCAATAGATGTCTGCCCAAAAGAACTGTCCTTTTAAGATACAATCAGTGAGACATGTCATGGTCTGGGACTGCAGACTAGACTATGTGACCCTTTGACCTGAACCGTCCTGGTATTGGCTTCAACACTTCCAAAGAGCGTCTTCAGTGTCAAACGTTCTGTTGGTTTGAGCCTCCTCCCTCTGTTCCTGATCCACGACTCACCTGCTGATTACAGGCGTCCTCGATGCGGGCGCACTCCCACTCGACGGGGGCGTCGGGCCCCCGCAGGAAGCGCAGCGCCTCCTCGGCCTCCCGCCTCTTGCCCAGTGACAGCAGGAAGCGGGGTGTCTCTGGCATGAAGCACATGCAGACCATCAGCAGCGTCGGCGGGATGGAGCTGCAGATCGCCAGCCAGCGCCAGTCCAGGTAGAGACCTGCAGGACCAGGTCACACGTCACGGGGGCGGATTGGGTTATATTTGCATAATGAATTTATATTTCATTTGCTAACGTTAGATATTTACAACAGACATATTTAGCATTATGAAAATGAGTAATCTAGGGCGTTCGCCAACGTTAGTTGCCAGATCTTGAAGCATAATCTAACTGAGACAATAATCAGACTGAGAGGATGCTCCTGAAGCTCCTAATTGACAGATGGATCCTATTAAAAATGAAGACACAGTTATGACATCAGCTGCCTTAACTCTGTTGTCTTTAAATGAGAGGCCCAATAAGATCTGAGTTTCCCCCTAGTTGTGTTCTGCAAGTGTCAGGTCCTGGTGCACGACACACTGGAGGCTGCAGGACACAGCGGAGACTTGTCAGGTCCAGGTTCTCCTCACAAGCTGCTGCTTCTAAAATACATTCCTCTGCAGATCTGATTGCTCCACTGGATCGTTGTATAACGATCACAGTGTTCACCTTTGTGTCGAAAGGCAGCTGGTTAGTTTGGTTTTTTTTTGGTTCCTTTATATGACATCAACTAAATAAATGACCACATTCGTTACACATTGAAAAAAGGCCAGTCGACCCAAATTACATAATAAACATCTGTGTCCTCTAACAGGAGACAACCCCTGTGTGACACACCAGCGTCTATTAAATGGCATGCAGCTAACAAGATTAGCGAGAAGCAGCTATTTTCATGCAGGTCAATCAGAGACGTCGATGATCGCATCACATGATGGCCAGCTTTCAGTCTTCTTCTTCTTCTCAACCTCTAATTTAACTCAACTAAACTTCTAACTAAACTGTTTTAACGGGTGTTTGACCGAGAAAGAAGCGTTAATACAGATAACAACCAGAAGAAGGCTAATGTTATGTATTATGTAGTTGCTGTCATAATGGTGAGTGTTGTAAAGTTGTAAGTTACTTCATGAAAGAAAACCTTGATGATTCACAGCTTGTAAACTGAGACCTCGTGGGACTTTCTCAATAACCCGGAGTCAGACTTCACCGAATGAGGTTTAAGGACACCATAAACACATGAAACTGAGCGTAACATACCTGCCAGATAAGCTCCCATGATGCCGAACACCACCATGAGTTGCACGCAGGAGCCCAACAGCCCGCGTACGCGCTCGTGTGCCATCTCAGAGATATACAGCTGAGCGGAGAGAGACAGAAAGATCAGCACGCACCAGCTCTCAGTGATAATGAGCCCGAGGAGCCGCATTGTCTGGCTCATGTACATGTGACAAAAAGGTATTTTTATTCAAAGTTACATGCTGTGGCTTTAATGTGCAACAAGGCAGGAAACCACGGCGTGAACACCAACAAAGAAGAAGAATAAAAGCCCCGTCATAACAACACGGGGTTGAACAGAACAAAACACGCTTCTTACCGGGACGACCAGCGACGTGACCCCGCTGGCGACGCCCGTGAGCACCCGGCCGATGTAAAGCATCCACACGTTCTGCGCCGCGATGATGACGGTGAAGCCGAAGACGAACGGCAGCGAGCAGAACATCAGGGTGAGCTTCCTGCCGATCTTCCCCACCATCCAACCGCCCAGCAGGCCGCCGGCCGCCGCTCCCACCGTCACTATGGACTGAGACGCCAACGACACAGAGATTAGGGACATTTCAACTACATTTGGACTCCGAGCTGTCAGCTGTTCATCACAATATTGTCTGCTTAAAAATGTCTATATTGGAATGAAAAAAAGTTGCATTTAAAAACGACATATATTTTACAATAAATCCTTCAATGACTTCTATTGTTTCACCTCACAATCTGAGATGTAAATTGCTTTTTAACATGATCGTAAGCAACTCTTTTCTGTGTTTTTTACTTTTCATGCTGTCCCTAGGTTTTTGACCCCAAGTGAGTCCAACGTGTTTGGACAACATGTGATCACATTAAAACTGCTGATAAGTAAAAAAAAGAAACCACAACAGCACATCATTTAAGAGCTGTTCTGCTTTGTGACACTGGACCATCGTACCCCGAACCACGAGGCCTGGTCGGCGTCCAGCCGCAGCCGAGGGTCGGCGATCCTGGTGAGTTCGGGGATGGCGGGGGAGCTGTAGCCCAACACGAAGCCGAAGCTCATGGGACCCAGAACGGAGGCGAACGTCGCCAGGTACAAGTTCCTGTTCTTCACTTTGCTGTGGAGAGAAAGAGGAACAGAGCAAGAGCGTGAAGACCACAGGTTGGGGCTCTTCTCGTGCCTCCTTGTCTCCTCCTGCCTGTGACTCAAGAATAGAGTTCAGGATGCACACGTGTATCCTTTGTGGAAGTGACGCCTCCGAAGTACGGATGTCTCCTTTTGTTAAATGCCCGTTGCCCTCGACTCCTCACCTGTCTTCCTCAGCTCGCATCTCAGGTGGGAGGGACTAAGTCCGCGAGGGGAGGAGGCGAGGAAAGGAGGCGAGGACGTAAAAACTGAGAAGAGCCCGAGATCAAAGGAACGTTCAGCTGCTCAAATAAGTTAAAATGTCTCAGTGAAAGAGCAGGATGCTGTCAGCTCTATAAACTTACACGCTTCAATCTGCAAACTCTTTGTTTTAAGAATCAAAATAACATAATTTTAATATTTATGTCAACTACATTTTGTGAAAGTATCTCTAAACCTCTTGGCAAAGAAAACAATATGTTACCATTTCTGCCTGCTCTGTCTGTTACATATTAATATTAGACAGATTTACATTGTAATATTTTAAGTGGGCACTAAGACATGAATTAAAAAAAAATTATATTAATCTATTTCTGCCAGTTTTAACTTGATTTACATTTCTCATCGTCATAGTTTAAGTGGGCCTGTATTAGAATTCATTGTTCTGTACATGGCCCACCATCAAATATATAAAGAAACGTGACAAACCCGGCTGTAAATACTACTATTCCTTGGCAGCCATTGATTTCCATTCCTTTTTGAACGACATGAAACAAAATGGAACATTTGTTTAATCAACTAATTAGCATATCAGTTGATTTAAAGATGTATTAACTGGGTTAGTGAGTCATTTGAAGACTCTGGGAACTTGTGATGGACACAATTAAATCTGACATTTCAACAGCAGCTGCATAGTGCAGACAGTACATCAGAATGGATTTGACAAACATGAATGACTGATAAGATAGCCATGTGTCCAGAGTGCACTGATTGATTCTTTGTACTATATATTCGTCGGTTACTCATGGTACTGAATGGACCCTTGGAATGACAGACATTAAGGTGCATGCACATGACTCCAGCGCACGTGCCAGTGCCTGGAATGTGTGTTTTGTTATGCAGCATTCTGTCAGCAGAATACACTGAAGTGGTATGTTTGTGTGTTAACTGACCTCAGGTACGCGTCCTGCTCCGACATGAGTCCGGTAGGATCCCCGTCTCCGCCCTCCTCCCCATCCAGCAGCCGCGTCCTCTCGTTCTGGATGTCCATGCTGAGGAAAGTATCTAAATGTGTCCTCCTCCTTCTTCTTCTTCTTCTTCTTCTTCTTCAGTGTTTTATATGCATCAACAGGTCGAGCAAAACTAACCCGAGGGGGAAAAAAATCAACGTTTGTTGCGTTACAAACTGGCAACCGAGCAGCTACACGAGGACGGAACCGGGATACTAGAGGCTACAGTGTCACATTAACGACATTTCAGTTATTTACCGCAGAAACTGCTTCTTCCTACACCCCAACTTGCCTTGTCAACATTTAAGTCAGCTGATCTTCATTTGTGCCTGCTATTTCCTGTTTTCAAAATAAAGGTTCATGCTGTTGTTGCTTGGGGGACAGAGATAGTTAACGTTAGCTACGTGCTCAGCTGAAGTCGTGTCGTGTCACGCTATTACAATTGTCATTAAACAACAGTTTAATAAGCACAGTCAAACTGACATACCGGGCTTCCGCTGTTTTCATTGAAAAGTAGCTAAGCTAACTGGGGCTAAGCTAACGACATTTTATTTTGCAAAGCAGTCAAAGACATGTTACACGCTGTTTTTATACACTACTTAAAGTTAGTTACAATAAAGCTAAGACACTATTAACACTTGTAAAAAAACTAAATATTAAACGGTTTGACGTTCTCCGAGATTTCTTAGTTTCAAACTTTACCGGAAATGACGTAAGGCGGAAACTCTCGCTCAAAGTTGAACGTTTAGAAAATAAAAGCCTCAGTGTTGAAGTTGGTTTCCACGGTGACAACCAGATGTAACTTTAATTTAGCGACTCTAGAATAACAGCAAAGAGCAGATTAACGCAAACTGACTATCTGAACCACACAATGGACAATGAACAAAAGGTAAAATAACATTAGTTTTTTAACAATAGCAAAGTCTGTTAACTTTAGCACCTTGTTAACTACGAGTTTTGAGTTGAATTGTATTTATTTATTTTCTTTCTTTCTGTATCAGTAATTAATAATTAACGAGTTAAAGAATGCATATCAAATAAATACTTAAATTAGATAATAAATTAAAGGGACAACTCAAATGTTGACGAGGCAGAGGAGGTTGAAGCTTATTATACATTTATATTATACCTCCGGTTTTATTCCTTGCCACAAGTTAACCCCTTTAACAGATATACATCCATTATTTACATTTTTTTATCACATTGTCTTTCTCTAATTTCAAACAACCTCTGAATACAGTTAAAGCAACAGATTGTGTACTTTGTAAAATGATCTGTGCAGTTTTAATATCACTAGATCACAACATTGTAAAGCATGTAACATGTTATGTTGATTACTTGTTTGTCGGTTGGTTTGTTATCCAATCGATGTCTTATAGCTCTTTCGTTATGTGTAAATTGGATAAGTGTTGTTTATTTCTGTGTTTCCCTTAAACCTCCACACAGTAGTTAATGTTCTGTATGGAGCTATGAATCCAACACAGTGAGCTCTGATTGAAGAAATCAACTTAAACTAACAACTACACTTTTTTCCTCTGAGAAAATGTCCTGATTGTCAGTCGGCCTCATCCTCTTTATTTCGTAGTTCGGTACCCCTTCAGGAAACGCTGAGATCTTTTAGTACATTCAATCTTTTGTGTGTTGACTGTTCACCAGCAGGCAGAAGAGCAGAGTTTATTTCCCACCGCTGTGTCAGAAGAGGAGCTGGAGGAGGCCCGGAGCAAAAGCTCCTTCAAGCAGCTTTTCAGCTCCAGTAAAATCTTTCTGGCGCCGGGAGAGAAACGGCCCCCAAGACCAGAGCTACAGATGAGCCTCATCACCCAGAGCAAGGCTGCACAACAGTGAGAAACGGGGATTAAAAGAAGCAAAGACACATTTTCAGGAGGCTTCTACTTTAGCCTCACTGTTTATTTGTGGTTTTGTACCAAAATAGCGTTCAGTAAGATACTACAAAGCCAAATGTGGGGGATCTTTGCTGAAAATATCTATGTGACATCCAGTCAGAGCCTTTCCAGGTGTGAATAATGCTCATAGTGTGTTTCTCTGCAGTTACACCGATGGAACCGAGGCAATGGGAAAGTCCCAGTATGAGAAGGCTGTGATCTGCTTCTCCAAAGCCATCACACTGCAGCCGCAACAGGTGCTGATAACAGGACACATGTTGAAATGTACTGATTGCTGTGACGCTTTTCATTTAGATTAAAGATGCAAGGGTCATTTATTGTTGTTATGCAACACAGAGATGCACAAAGAATTTCAGTTGTAGCCATTTGTAAGACAACAAACACACAACAAACAGTGTCCTGCTGGGTGGTGGAGTAGCCTCAGGTCCTAGCTGGGTTAGCTTAGCTTCCATCTGGGCTCTCCTCCCTCTCCTCTCTGGGGCAGTTTGGTGGCATTCTGGTCCAGCAGGTCTGGCTGGTTGGTCGGCTGTGGAGCGGTGATCGTCTCAAAGTCTGCTGCTCTTAATCCTCACGCCTCCTTTTCAGATGTTGATGAATCATCAGATCATATAATTAGATTGTAGTAAAATAGATCAGCTGTTTATGGGACAAAAACTGTGATAAATAAGCTTTGTTTCCAGACACAGGCAGTAATAACTCTGGTGCCTGTTGGTGTGAGATGTTTTAATATGCTCCAGTAGGTTCCTGTGTCTCAGACCTCTGCCGCTGTGTGTTTCCAGACCGGGCTGTATGTGAGCCAGGCGGAGGCCTACCTGCAGCTGTGTGACTTCCAGTCAGCAGCGGCCTGCTATAAACGGGCCGGGCTCCTGGAGCCCGGAGCCTGCGGCCCCCGCTTGGCCTTCGTCTACTACCTCCAGGTCTCCACGACACACTCCTCTGTTCTGGGTTCTGTCTGGGGTTCACTGCTGCTGTTAGCGTGTGTCTGTCCACAGCAACTTAGAGACGGAGAGGGGAGTCAGAGGTGGATAAAGATATATGGAAACATATCTCTGAGATCCTAAAACATTAAACGTGAATTTAAATTGTTCCAAGTTGAATAACCTCAATGTGCATTCAACATGTCAGTCGATACATTACATTCTTTATTCTCTTCTGTAGTTTTTATAATGAATCCCAGTTGAATGACTCATGTGTTTCTTTGCCTCCTCATATATTCTCAACTTTTCATCTGAATATAAGAAGTCTTTCCAGCAACTATGACAAATTAATTCATTATTTATTTCTGCCTCTTCCTGCACTGGGATGTTATTTATCTCTGTTACGTTTGTTATTTTTTAAATTGTGCAAAATAAACTAAACTTAAAACTAAACTTAATTATTCCAAATAAAATAGAATATTTCTATATTTATGGACAAAAAACACTGAAATCTTGTGCAAAGAAAAAAACAAAACGTTTACAAGTTGAGCTCTAATTGTAACATTCCCGCTGTCCAATAGATTCAGTATATCTCTTCTGTTGATGTGTGGCTTTTAGCTTTTTACTCTGTAATGTTTTGGTTTATTGTATGTATGACATTGACGTGTATTAACTCTTAACTTTGCTGCCTTCTTGGCCTGATTTCCATCGCAAAAGAGATTTTTTCTCAATGGATTTCATCTGTTTGCATAAAATCTATTATACAACAAACAAAAATATAAGGAGCAGAGAAGTGAACAAAAAGAAAATGACATGAGCGAGTTTCACGGATGAGTTTGGGCAGAAAAAATGAAATGTGCATTTTGGAGAATTCAGACCAGTTTCTGGGTTAAAAAGCGATGGGTTTGGACTCAGTTCAGCAAAGATAATCCAAAAGTTCTGGTTTGTTCATGATTTACACCCTTCATAAGTATCTCAGATAAATGTCTAAACATACAATAATTGAAAGGCGATCGCTCTGTTTGCTGTCGTCTCAGGGCCAGTGTTTGTTTGACCGAGGCCTTTTCCTCGAGGCTCTGGAGGCCTTCAGCAAAGCTGCCGAGGTGAAGCCCGGCTGCAGGGCCCACGAGGTCAGAAGGTCAGCAAGCTGCGTACTAAGATCCGTTTAAAGTTGTTTGTGCTGAGGTTTACTTACAGTTCTATCCTGTGTTTTACAGAGATATGACACCAGATATACGTAGGTATATGTCATAAGATATCTGTACATTATAGATCTAAATCAAAGCATATTATTGAGCAGGTAAAGGGACAAACAAGTACTCAAGATGTGATGTTTACAATCTACAGTTTTGTTCCGCTGATAGTTCTTTTTTCAAATTCACACACATTGATCGTCAAGCCTGCAGGGGGATTATGCATTTGGTCCTGTGTGTGTGTGTGTCTGTCTGTCCGCGGCTAATCTCACATACTTACTATTGCAAACCAAGTCTATCTACAGGTACAAATAAAATACCCTGCTTTATGGTCTGTTTGACTCTAAATGGACCATAATGTACTCAATGAACATCATGCTGTATTGAAGAAGACTTGAAACTAGAGATTGAGACCATAAACTCATGTTTACAATGTTTACTGAGGTAATAAATCAAGAGAGAAGTAGAGTCATTTTCTCATAGACTTCTATACAACCAGAGGAGTCGCCCCCTGGTGGACACTAGAGAGAATGCAGGTTTTAGGACACTTCCGCATCGTCTTCACTCGGCAGAACCGGAGGTTGCCGCCTGAAGTGATGTAGTTGCCGATGTGTTTTGTACCTTGTGTTCCAGTCTGGCCTGTCTGACGGCTGCAGGTCACCACGCTGACTGTCTGAAGCAGGTGAACGACTGGATGCTGTCGGACGGTCCCACATCCGACCTTTACGTCCTCAGAGCCCGACTGCTCAAACTGCTCAACCAGGTTACGACTTCAGATACTATAGACCAGCCGCATTTACACGTTACATCTCAGGCGGTGAGCTTATGCTGTAAAGAATCAAGAAGAAAACTTCCTTCAGGTCCTGCAGGGCCGCAGACAACAGAAGTGTTTTGTATCAGGACTTAAAATCTTAAGGCTGTTGCACCAACAACTAAATCACGTTTGATCAGTATTGAGAGGCTTGCTTACAGTTGAAGCAAAAAACAAAGGTCTGTGGTTAAACTCCCAGTGATTTCCTCTCGTGTCCAGACGTCACGATGTTATCGGGACGTGAAGTCGGCGTTGGCGTTGAGCCCTCGGTGTCCGCAGGCCGCGGCCCTGCTGCTGCAGCTGCAGGAGGCCGGCGAGGAGGCCACACGCAAGGCC